TTTGTTGTTCTACTCTTCAGTGTTAAGTTAGCAATACGTTGCATAATGCATTGTTGGATTTTGCATTTACGTTGATCTTGGGGGCCCAATTTGGGAGTTCGCCTCGGGCTCCGAAAATCACAGGACCGGCCTTGACCAGCAGGAAGCAGTCAATCGTCGATGGCTGATGGCCTTGAAGAGCGAATCGAATTCGCTGGCGGATGGACGATGCGGTTAGAAACTTAGAAAGTGTGTAGCAGTGTAGGGATTAGGGAAAGCCGGAACTCGAAATGGAAGGGATTAAAGGAAGGAAGAAGAAGTGTGGGAGACTGCACTGGAAAATACCACTCCGGCGTCGGCTTGAAAAACGGTTGGATTGGTGGATTCTTGGAGAGTTGAATGAATTTTTGAGACTTGAGAGTTGAGAGCGGGAAGGAGACGGAAGTCGCTGTGATTGTTTAGCAGTTTAAGTTACTAAAAAAAAATCAATTGGGCCAAAATTGAGAGGCCCTCCATTGTTGGGCTAAGCCTGATAAAAAAAAAAGGTGGGCCAAAAAATGAGGCCCCTCCACTTTTGGGCCTGAGGCGCGGGCCTCATTTGCCTCGCCTCAAGGCCGGGCCTGGATGCAATCACTGAAACTTCCACGTAGAAATTATGGTTTTCGTGTGTAGGGTTTCTACAATTTGGGGGCAAAATGAAGGAAATTTGAGGTGAAGCGAGTATGGATTTGGGTAGGTTTTAATCCACCGTCTTTTTTTTTGGGCAACTTACAAAAGTACCCTTAAATTTTGGGGTCTTTTGAAAAATCATATGAAAAGTATTTTTGAAGTAAAAAATAATGTGTAAGATTATAAAAAAGTGACACAATATTACTTTTTAAAGTTAAGTGTCACTTTTTTACGTACAATGTCACTTTTATTAAAAAAAATGATATTTTCACTAAAAAAGTTGAAATTTTACGAAAGTGACATAAAGTAGTAGCAGTAATAATAATAATAATAATAATAATAATAATAATAATAATAATAATAATAATAATAATAATAATAATAATAATGACTAACACTAAAAAATAGTAATAGAAATTAAAAAATAGTTATAAAAA